GGTGTAGGGGGAACATGAGTAAGAGGAGGATGGATGTCGGTAGTCGCTTTTGTAGAGGGAATAGGTGCAGAGAGATTGGATGATGTGTGAGGTATAGGTATGTCATCTTGGGCCATGATTAGTCTTGAATGTCCTCGAGAGTTTTCTAAATGGAGTTGGTTGGGGAGAAGTTTTCTTACGAGGGGAGAAGCGGGGACAGACGTTTGAGAGACGGAGGAAGAGGCTGATGCAGGCGAGGATGCGGCAGAAGATGAGGTGGAACGTTTAGCTTGCTTTATGGGACGAATCGAGCGAGGAGGAGCAGCAACCGGGGAAGCAGAAATTGAAGTATTTGGATTTGGAACAGCGGTAGAGAATGGGGTGTCTGGATTTAAAATGACAAAGGAATTCGACTGGGAGCGGGAGAGGTTAGAAGTATGATGAGAAAGAGATACTAGGGGGTGTAAAAATATCTTGGGAGGGAGGGGGAAGGGCGGAGCGAAGGACTGCACTGGAGTAAGGAGTAAGAGAAAACTAAGTCTGCGTGCTTCCGGCCAAGTTTGAATCAGAATTTGGTTGATATGGTCAGACAGGGGGAGGTCATGTCTACAGAAAGCAGTCTTGGCAATATTGGTGAGGACTTACAGCGGCCTCTAGGGGGGAAAGGTGTAGCTTTGTACTAATAGTGCATCTTAAGTCTTCTCCACAGTCTGACAATCTTTGTCGTAACGAGAGAAGTCTGCCGGGGAGATGTAGACAGTTCCGGTAAAAGTATTGAGGAAGGGTTGAGGCTGGGTAGGAACGTTTGTCAGTGAAGTCATTCAGATTAGATAGTGCTTTAGCTTGGGATTCGGATATAACTATGACAAGGCGGCTGCGGAAAGAAACTTTGCCTACATGATTTTGGAGGCATTGCTAGAAGACAAGCGTATTGTCAGAGTCAAGGATTATAGAGGGATTCACAAAAAACAATCCAATTTGGCTGGACTAAACAGAGTACTCCATAGAGTAGTGTGGGTAGTAGAAGGACGAGACCTTATGGAAGAAGGAGTGGTGCTGAGTGAAGTAGTGCTACAGTAGTCATTGAGGAAGGGGCAGTAGTAGTGTTCATATTCGTGGTCAAAAGAGTTCCAGGGGATAGGGAACCGGGAGAATTAAAATTAATGCAGGCCTGATTGCCCTTAATAAAGGTGTCAAATCTTCATTACTGGCTATGGTAGGCCTGGAGTATGTTGGGGAGAGAAATGGTCCAATCCTCAGGGTTCCTCAAGTGGACAGAGCTAGACAACTAAACAGGAATACAGAGACCATGGCTTCTCTAGGCCGTTCATGACTGGTAAAAAGTCAGCCAGTCATTCTTTTAACACAGCTCTCACACCTTAGAAAGTGAATAATAGAAGGGGTTGGGGAAGAGGAGGAAAAGGAAAGGGGAAGAAGGGAAGACCATGCAAAATTAGTTGAGTCGAGGGCTGAGGCCCAAGGTAGGGGTGATTCCCAGCAGTAGGCCTCAGTCTCCGTCTCCCTACGGCAACAACATGCACGGGATTGGTGGGGGTCTAATTAATTGCCGCAATTATAGCTGGATTGCCAACTCTTGATTCCCACAAGCAATTCATCATGAAACTTTCAAATGTGCATCAAGTTTTGTCTACATATTTTTCATTGACTGAAGTTCTGTTTTACAGAATGTAAATGGCTGCTAAAAGCAAGGGAATCATTTCTAAAGACACAACCGGACTGTCACACTTTAATTGGGTTACCAGTAAAACATCACGCATAAAGCTGGTTGCTCTGCAGTAGCTACCTAATTCACATGGCTTATTCTAATCCATGAAAACTTTTATATCACTATTCACACTGAAGATAGAATATGAACTTTTCCAAATATACCAAGCTCTCAAGTACTCCTAATTCACGATTACCTGCCATGTGGGTAGTAGTCACTGCAAAGTCACTAAAGCGGACTCTTAAGAAAAAGTACCCTAAAGCCAAAAAAATTTTATCTTACCCTTTTTTCTACTATATTCCTCATTTGGCCAATTTTATATGTTACACAATCTATCACATTAGAAAAAAAAACACAGGAGAAAAATAAAAAAAAAGATTTTGGAAGCATCATGTATTTTCTTATAATATATACAGACACAGAATTTTTAACATTACAAACACAGAGACCCATACAAAAATGCATCCTCACTTATCTGAATTATAGTGGAATTCACAAGTATGAATGTGAGGAGTTATCCGACTGTAAACTTTGCACGACCATCCCATTTCTGAGGAAGCTTGGGGATGGACCCAAGGTCATGAACGGTGACAGGATTGCACTTCTTACAATTACAAGATTTCCTCTTAATCCTTTGTATGCTGAAATGAAGTGTCCATGTAGAAGTATACAGTCGAATGCCATATATCCATCATGGTGGCTGTAAATGCAATCTTGATATGCCAGGATCATCCCACATGTTTGCAACGCCGCTAATACTTATGACTTTCTTTTTATTTCCTTAGATCATGAAATTGTAAAAGGTTAAGGAACATGAAGGATGAATCTACAACATGGTAAAGATGTGAACTTTGAATAAGAATGGGGAGGAGAGGTAGGAAAGGGGGTAAGAACTACAGCAGAGTTCACATGGTTAAAAAAAAAAGTAGAAAGAAAAAAATAACAAAAAAGAAAAAAACAAAAAAAAATCAAAGGGAAAGGTGGGGAGCAGAGAAAGTTTTCTTTTGGTATGCAAGAAAGTATATATAAAGCATTTTTATATATATAATTCTGATGGATAGATTTAAAGATATGGTAAATACAGGCAATTCAAACAAATAGGGAGATAGGTGCTATTGGACTTGACAGGGTATGTACATCATGGCAAGTAAAGGGCATGTGAGAAATGGTTATCATAAGTTACAAACCAAGATATTTAGCTACACCGAAAGAAATGACATTCAGGCAAATATGATTAAAAAAAGAAAGAAAGAAAAAAAAAAGAGAGGGTAAATAAAGAAGGAAAAAAAAAAAAAAAAGAGAAGACCTAAATGAAGATAATATGAAAATCTTTAAAACATTTCCTTTTTTCGATTTTTTTAATGAAATATTTAGCAAAAGAAATACACGATAAAACAATGCGTTAAAGATTAAACACTGCAGAACATGACAGGATTCAGCTATGAGTGTGAGGTAAACTGATAGCTTTTAAATATGAATGTTCCTATAGTCATTACCTGCTTATGAGAAGTGTTTGTTGGTGTAGACAGTAATTACGTTCTATCAGACTTTACTATTTTCAGCATACCTCATATTTTATTCCACTGACCAGAAAGAGTAGGTAGCTTCATAAACATCTTAAGTGAAATACTACTGTAACTTTAATAGTTCAATAACTAAGTATAATATGGATTTAATGATACACTATATCTGATGTGGGATGTTTGGTATTCTTAGTGATTGTAATAAGTTAATAACAACATACATGGTATTTCTTATATACACATTTTAGTGGGGGGGAAAAAAGTAAAAAAGAAAAAAAAAAAAAAAAGAAAAAAAAAAAAGGGAAAAATATGGAAAAGAAGTTCTTTTTAATGGGAAACAATTACTACATTCATTTATTTTACTTGAAGCTTCTACAAAGGATAGGAAACAACATGTGGAATGCGGCATCCAAGTGGGGAAAAGAAAAGAGGATGGAGGAGGGGTAACTTCCACTCAAGTCCTTGTGAAGCTACATCCATAACTACAATGTAAAATGGAACACATGAATGCAGTGAGTCGGTCATGTAGAGTTGGGGCAACAGAAGTTACAAATAATTTGTTTTTTGTGACGAGAACATCAACAGTAAGCCTTAGTCTCCACTTCTGTGAAACTGTATTTTCTGTGAACCTTAAAAATGAATGAAACTCAGTCTGAAATTGGCCATTGCAGAAATTCAATATCACAAATCATCACTAATATCTATAATAAAAATGGAGACTAAAGAAAAAGGCAAGACAATATAAGCAACTATATAAAACACATTGATACACATATGTCACGTCACAAACCAAAACAAAGAAAACAAATTCATATAGCAATATGAAACATTAGACAACTAAAAACCAATGTTAGAGATGCAGCTCAAAAGAAATACTTTGATCACTATAATCAATACAGCAGCAGATTGAAGATATAGGTAATATCACGAGTAAATAAAATACTGTGTACAATATTTTACAATGTACAAGCAATAAAGATTCAAGACAGATAATTGAAACAATTATGTCAAGGTAAGAACGAGCAAGATGGGAACTAGACAAACTGCACGCATGTGAGGCTCTAGTACACCTACTCCATGACCCTGGATCGTCCCGGTATGTTTGCTCTCTTTGGGATCATAATACATGTCTAAAAGAAGTGTTACACTGGAGTTTTGCCACTTTTTGAAATTTTGGTCAGCTTTCATCTACGTTAGAATAGGGGGGGAAATAGACATGGTAATTTATGATTCTGTAGGGACTGGATACCCGTCTCAAACATACTCACATGTGTTCACCTGCATAATCCACACACACTGACTAACTAACAATCCAAGTTTGAGATTTAATACTGCTCTCTCTTGTTTGAAATTCAAGCATGCAATTTAATGTAAGTGCTGAATCTACTTTGAGATTTAATAACAGTTGATGAACAAAAACCTGCATTTATTACATAAAGGAGGTTTTTGGACAAAACAACCAACATGCCCTGCTGTAGGAAGTGATCATTTTTTGTCTTATCATAAAAGAGAGTTTGCTTCCAACAACTATGTTCTAAATGTCACTGAAAGCTTAGTGCATGTTCCTGTTACTGGAAGCATTTGAATACTCTTTAGACTTTATAAACTTGAGCATCAAAACAATGGTACATTACCTAGAGAGTTAAAGGCTAATAAAAAAATAATGATGAACAATACTAATAAAAAAAAGATAAAAATTATACAAACCATTCACACATTAAAAGGTTGGAATGATGCAACATACAAACAACTTGCCTAGGCCTATCTAATGGCTGAGAACGTCAGCACGAAGCCAACCATGACTCACGACTGGTGAACCAATGCTGCTACTGGGTCGAATTGTCAAGGATATTGTTTTCTTTGTGACATTCATGTGCAAATTACCAAATGTCTACAAGAAAAGTTTCATCTTTGTGATCAGTGCCATTTCATGTCAACACATGAAGTAAAAGGTTTGGTTCCAACTGTTAACTAACTTCAGAAATGGAGTCTTAAAAGAAAAGAAAAGAAATGAAAGCTTCCATGCTCATTTTCCCAGCACAGGCTGGTTCATCACATATACTGCCCCTTGTAGTATTCACACAAGGGTGTGAAAGCATTGTAAGCAGAGCCTTCTTAGGGAAGCAAGTGGCTTAGCATACTTGAATGACATCACCTCCCCTTTGTGATGGAAACCTCACAATATCTAGCAATCTCCATGGTGTCCGTATCTTAAGTCAAAACCATTGAACAAAAGTTTAATACAAACGTGTAGATTACATAAAAGAGAGAAGGAGGGGAAGTGACTTTTGTCTTTTTGTTTTCATTCAAACAGGACGAATATGACCAACAGGACTTCCATGTAACACAGCTAGAGCATTAATTCTTACACAAAAGTTGAAGTCTCTTACAGATCATTCTGACTCGTGGCTTGCTTTCATCAATTTTGTGCTAAGCCACACTTTAAAAATCTTATTAGATATCTTTTTCCTTTTGGCTGCTGACACAAATATTACTATGGTCCACATGCTACAGGTGTGAGGAACGAGCATCATCAGAACTGCTAGTGATTCAACCTATTTGTGAAAATGTCAGCAACTATGAGCCTAGAATACATTTTCAAATTTTGTACAAGGGCCCAATATGGAAAGGAAACAAGATGAAGTTGCCAATGACACTATTTTTGCCCCCTTATAACTGGAAAAGATAAGCTCATGAAAAAAGAGAAGTTTCAAGTATGAAGTTTCCTATGGAAAATAAGCACAGTTTCTTGCTGATGAGGACAACACCTTCATCTGACTAGGGAAACACTTCCTGGAAACTGTTCAACATGCTATGCTTGTCTGAGTAGCCAGAACCAAGCTAGTACAGAGGAACTCCTTGAAGAGGATCATTTAAAAAGATGCATGTTCCCCCACTTTACAAGTTCCTATACAAAATACATATAATATGAGCATTTTTCTGCAGTTCCTCGAAAGCTCATAATGGCTGACCATGCCACAAAGAGTGATGACAACAAATTAACACAAAGCTAGAGGGTTATTTTTCATGATGCAGGATCACCGATTTATGAGCCCAAGATACATATGATTTTAATGCAAGAAAATTTTGGAATATGGACAATTCACAAATCTAAAAATGATTAAAAAAAAGAAAAGAAAAAAGAAAAGAAAAAAAAAAAAAAACGGGTCAAAATTGTTGGCTCAAAGTCACTGATCTTGTTACATGATATATTGAGCAAAGAGGACTTCTCTATTTCAACCGAGACCATCAGACTTTGCTTACCTTCCAGTGCCAAAGAGAATGATTATTGGGGTTTGGCCAGCATATGGAGAGTAGAGTACTATAAATTACCTTGTTTCATCACGTTCTATCATGACTGTGATTAATATATGTAATAGTAAAAAGAAAAAGTAATAAGCAGATTAATGCTTACAGGACTGAATGACAGAAATTCTTTTTTAGATCCTGTGTTTCATTTAATGACTTAAAAAGGAATTTTTGGCCTGTAAGCTCACCAGAAGAATCAGAAGTCCTGTCATGAAAAGACCTACATATCCATAACATACAGTTAATACAAGATTGAGACAGTGTTTTGTGAAGATAGATTTCTTTTCCTTAAAGAAAGCTTTCCTCATATGTAACACTTTCTAAAGCTCACATTTACTGGTCTCCTCATATACAGTATATACACTAAACCAGAAAGAGCTGGCCCTGTTAACAGTCTAGTTCTCATGAAATCAATAAACATTTCTTTGCATACTAACATATTCAACAAAGTAATGAAATCTGATCTTTTTTTTTATATATCTCGCAAGCAACAGCCATTTCAACGAATGAGATGGAAGTTCATATAAACTGAACCGTTTTTGCTCATCATAGAAATGCCAATCTAACCTTTCTTAACAGGGGGGGGGGGGGGGGGGGGGGGGAATCTAAAGCACACTGGCATTGTGGCCACGAGAGCACCTTGGGGGCCCAGGCATCTACGGAAAAATTCCGGCCATACGTGGACCAGACTTTGGAAATCCTAACCATTATCTGGATATACAACAAATAAATATGGAGGTGACATTAGTATTTCATAAATAAGGCTAATTACATATTACAAAGAGCTCAAATTTATATTCATACATGGAAAACAATATAGCCTAGAGAGAACAGGGTTGTCAAATGTTTACATTTCCTACAGCTAGCTAGGAATCAACCAGTTATTCAATGGTTTGGTTGGAGGGATAAGGAAAGCATGGATGTTGACACGTTAAATTCTTCTGGCCATCGCTCGCTCGACGACTCAACCATCTGCAGGGGACTGAGAAAGTAGAAAAAAAAAGAATATTAGTTGCCGAATATGAGAACTTAAAAAAAAAAAATGTTACACCAAACTAAATCAAAAAAGAAAAAAAAAGTAAAAGTAAAAGAAAAAAAAGTAAAAAAAAAAAAAAGTAAAAGAAAAAAAAGTAAAAAAAAAAAAAGTAAAAGTAAAAGTAAAAAAAAATATATATATTAGTTGCCAAATATGAGAACTTAAAAAAAAAAAAAATGTCACGCCAAACTAAATCAACAGAAGTTATCAGAACATGGTACGACTGAAATATATACAAGAATATTTCAAACCACTAAACAGAAAGAACTCAAAAAAACTCTTACCTAAATCCTAGCCTTACTGACTCGTTATCAAATTCCTCTAATTCTCGTGCTTGTTTCTCTTGCATAAGACGTATCCTTTCCTGTTTCTCACGCTGGAACCTTGCGATTTCTTCACTCATCTGTCGTGGGGAAAGTGAATTAAAAAAGAAATTCCCGTAACTATAACACTAGCGAATGGTAAAAAATTAAACTTTACACATATACAAAAGACTAACCTTTACAAAAAGAGGCAACTTGGTATTATTACAGTACAAACAATTGAAGCTTAGTTAGGTATTACTCAACAGAGAGCTCAACCAGCAGTTTTCTGACCTTTTGCTGCAACAATGTTCTTCTTAGAGCAACTCTCTCGTCCAGCTCCCGCTTTTCACGGTCGCGCTGGGCCTCTGCATGTTGGCGGTTGCGTGTCTGGTATTCGGTAAGCATTTCTAGTTCTCTATCCAACTTCTCTGATAACTGCTGCTGCTCTATTACCTGAAGATTTAAAAACAACGATTACAATGTGGTGTCTTAAGTAGCAATCTAAAAAAAAATGCCCAAAAAAGCAAAAAAACAAAAAAGTAATTCACAAAGAATTAGGGAAAGCAAGAACCAAATTGCATTCATATTTTCCCTTTGCTAACACAGTCAGACTACAGGATAGGCACCAAAGTGTATAGTTCATCTCTCAAGGCTCAGAAATAGAAGTATTGATCACAAATCCAAAATACAAAATCAAAATCAAAAATGAACACCAATGGAAAGAAAGACAGAAGAGAGAAAAAAAAAAATGGGGGGAATATTCACTTTGAAACTCAAAAAAGGGGAAAACAGCTAATAAATTATCTTTAATTTCCATTTTCTTTTCATTAAAACAAGAATAATGACGATTCAAAATAATTTCTGATCTAGAGGGAACTTTGGATATATGATCATACAAAGCATACAAAATCTCTGTTCTTGCTAGGTGATATATCTGGCACATATATCCACAAGGATAAAACATTAAAGTTTCTGAAATAAAAAAAATGCTACCCTACAGAGATTGTATATCCTACAGAATGTGATATAGTGAGTTCTAATCACACATACAAACAAATCTAAACTGGTTTTGTTCTCTTTAACTATACATAATCTCCTGTCATTTAAAATATTCCTTTACTTCCATAATCCTACTTTACAAAAAAGATCGAGTGCAAGATCTGGTGCATCTGAATTCCCATTCCCCCCCCTAAATATTTTCACTTAATATCACCCAATGAAAATAATTTTTTTTCTTTACTTCTTTGTCTGTTTCTTAGTGTCTCAAATTACCTTCTAAACACAAAGCTCTGTCCAAAGTCTCACCTAATTCATCTGACGCACAAAGTGATCCTGGACACCATTTTCTATTTTTTCTTATAAAATGAAAACAATAATGAAGAGATAACCAATACCTCTGTATATAGAAATTCTTTTTTAGATCGTCAATTATAACATAACTGTACATGAAGCACTTCCCTTGTGCTTTCAGACAAGATCAAATTATCAAAAATCTGTGTCCGGAATCACCCAATTCTACTGAATATACTCAACAAAACTATCCAGTTACATTCTCAGGACAATCACTGAATACAGAAATCTTCTACTCATATGATGTAACTTTACTAAGTGGGATAAAAAAATATATAAATAATTTTTAAAAAATAAATAAAATCAAACTTCAAACATCTTCCAACTCACATTCTTAGTACAAGTTTTGAACGAGATTAACCAACGATAACACTGGGATTCTAGACACATATGCGTCCCAAATCTTTTTCCCTAAATATATGCCATCAAAATGTACACTTTCTCCTCTGCCTTTGCAAAATTGCGTGATTATTCATCATTCATATTGATCCAATGCCAAATATTACACACCTGACTCTCATCCAGCCTAAGAGACTGTCTCTGAAGCATTTCAGCAATGGATTGTTCATATTGGTCAGCAAGCATGGCTAGTTTTCTTCGCTGATCATCTTTTAATCTCTTGATAATAGCCCGTTGTTCATCTTTAGGTGTCTTAGATAAGATCTGTGCTTTATACTCCTTATACTGTTGTCGCTGTATATTGATAGTGTCCCTGAACTGCCGACGTATTTCTATCTCTTTTTGCTGCAACAAAGATCTACAGTTAAAAACATAATAAAAACCAAAAGTAGTTCTTCATTTTCTGTAAATAAAAATATTGGCCATCCCATTTGTGACTAACTTCACAAAACCAAAAAAATGAATGGAAATTAAATGCAAAAATCAAGAACAGAAGGAGAACAAAAGAAAGAAAACTCAACTATGCATATCTTCAAAAAGGTATATAAAAGCACACATGACTGTCATACTTCTCTAAATTTATTCTAATGCACATGATAACTTTTCTTCTACATTCCTGTGAAGAGAAATCTTACATTCTAAATAACTTGAACATAAAAAAAAACTAAAGAAACTGAAACAAATATGTCAAAACAACATTTCTTAATGATGTCAAGGTTAAGAACTTCCTTACAGCAACATCAGTATCATTATCAAAGGTGAATCTAATAAGTATAATAATATGAAACCATCAAAAAATTCATGTTTTTTTTTTGTTAAAATATATAACCAATACGAAACATGTAAAGGATTCTTACTTTTAAGCTCTTAGGTTGTTGTTTCTGTTGTAGGGCATGCTTTTTTCTCAGCTCTCTCTCCACTCTCTTCATATACTCATGTTGACTACTCAATTCTGTCTGGTGTTGTTTATTCATCTGTAAAAGGAGTATTAATAATGAGTAAGAAATAAGCATAGCACTAACGGCATAACAATATTTGTTTAGCACTGTCCTGAATAGCAAGGAGCACAGAACCTTAGTTCAAGCTTAACTCATTCCTGATGGGCATGCCATGCCATGCCCACTGTGAGGTTACTTGCTGGATTGTTTTTACACATAGATGGCTACACTTGTACTAAATCACCAATGAGCCAGTTATGAGTACCTCCTGTCTCGCCCGTTCACCCTTTTCTTTGATTTATGAAATATTTTACATTATCTTATTTTGCTGTTACTAATGTTAAAAAACATTATAAAAATTATAATGTTTATAATAAAAATAACACCATCGATATTCATGGCACTGGTGAAAAATACGTTTTTTCCACCATTTCAAATCAGGCACTAACAGAGCCATCTATGGGCAAACATTTAACAAAAAAGTATAGAAAATAGGCACAGTATTTTACCCATTTTTTGTTCATTTTCCCCGGTGGCAATGGGTTAAGTGAAAGATATGTTCTAAAAACTTGTACCTGCAAACATTATCTAAAGAGAAAAAGTATGGCAATAGATTTTGCGTAAACAAAAGAATCAGAATACTTGTTATCTGTACTCCAGCAGAATACCTTCAACTCTCTTTATACCATTCCCCTATTCCCCTATCAGAATCTTTGTCTAGCTCTCTTTCTCAAGGTCATTCCCTCTCATTCTAATTCTCAAAGTTTTTCTCTCTTTATACTTCCACTCTGTTTCTTTCTCTTTATTTCACTCACAATCCTTTACAGATTTTAATAGTACCTTACACTGTACCATACTCATTTATATCATACTCTTCCACACAAGCACATACATAAATATATACGTGGATGCATGCACACATACAATCACTCCTGCGAACGAGTGATCACCGACTCAAACGTCCAATCATTTTACCCTATTTTCTCACCTGCTCCTCCTTCAAAGCATGAATGGCTCTCTGTTGTCGGTATTCCAAATCCTGTGTTAACTGATGATGCCTTAGAAGCATGGAATGCGCTGCTTCGAGCTGCTGCTCTCTCTTTGTGAGTTCCTCCTTGAGAAGTGTTTGTTCCTTGGCATAATAGGCCAAGAGACCACGTCGACGGAACTTGCGAGTCTCCAGCTGCAAATATTCACCTTGCTGTTGCACCAACTTTTGCTCTTCCTGACGTTCCGAAGCCTTAAGGTATTCTTTCTGGCTCCTGTAATAAGACAATATTAAAATGAAAATGAAAATGAAATGAAAAGTTGGAAAAAGTTTTTTTTTTTTTTTTGTTTTTTGTTTTTTTAGTATTATTACTCATACTATTTTTTGTGTGTGCATTGCAGTCAATAATCCTTAAAACAATTCTGGTTTTCACACGGGAAGACACAATAGCAAATGTAATAACCCCTATGATCCAGATGAAGTGACCATCATAACATGAAAAAAATTGGCTTGACTGGCAGGTGATGTGAACATGCAGTCATGGGGAAATTTGGCTGTGGGCTGAAGTGACATGAACTTGAAGTTGTGAGCTGAAGGCTAGGGTGACGGGAAAGACTTGCCACAAGTGCACAAAGCTCTTTGAGGGTGATTAGACTCATTTGGCATTTAAGAAGGGGCATTTACTTTATTCCATCAATAAACAAGTGTGGAATGCAATGTCCATGAGCCATGACTGGAAGAATGCCAGCTCTATAGATGTTATTTCCATGTTCAGCATCCTATTCCAGCACAGGTTGTACTATAGAAAATTGAACATGAAAAAATGACAAAATATTACTTAGTGTTATTAATACAGCACCAAATTATAGACTACCTAGAGAGATGACATGGAGTCTGCGCAAGGAAAATAGTCTATTATCATCTGGATAAAGCAACTCAAATGACAAATATGAACACTGGAAAATGGCTATGTAGGATGTACTCCCAACAGTGTCTGCTCACATAAGCCTAATGCCTGTATTTTGGTCCACATGATGGCTGTGATGCTTCCAGATCTAAAGGGTTATCTATCTTGGTATTACATAAAAATCTCTGTATATTAAAAGTCTGAGCAAAATGATTCTATAACAATGTCAACCGTAGTATATTTTGAGTGCAGTGCAAACAAATGGGTATGCATGTGTGTTTGATAGTGGAGTGCATGCTTGAGTGTTTGATAGTGGGATGAATGCTTGTGTGTTTGATAGTGGGGTGCATGTGCCTGTATATTTGTAGATTCATCCTTATGGGTATATGTTAGAGAATGTTTTCTTTGTTGTTCTTGTTGTTTCTCTCTCTCTTTGTGTGCTTGTCACTGGAATCAAGGTACTCTTCAAGTTATTAACTAGTTACTGTGTCAGACATTTCAAAGACATGTGAAGCATGTTCTGCATTTCTGGTCTGAAAATACTCACTTTAACTCAAATTAATGAATTCAGTACTAAAACTAAGTAAATCTAAAAAAAAATACTGCATGAGTTTGGAGGTGACATGAATGACTGTAAAGCTAACACTTTTTTTAGTACTTCTGCTTCCTTTATATAAATTACGTCAGAAAGGTCTTCTCTCTGGATTTTTCCTGACAAATTATTCACATGTACCATGCAGGATATAGCAAGAAGCAACAAACAGTGAATAATTCTGGTTCCTGTTTACATCCTCTGAACAAATGGCCAATTGCAAAAATTAATACATACTGAAGCTGTGCTTCTCTCTGTTTTTTGGGAGTATTTGGATCTTGTGAAAGTTCTTTCTTCCATTTTTCTATATTCTCCTTGTACTGCTTCTTGTACTGGGACTGGAAGTGTTTAAGTTCTATACCATGTCTACCATTGATGTCCTTCTGTAAATTCTTCTCTGCCACAGTGCAGCTGTCAAGTTTCTTTTCCTGTTCTTTCTCATGTTTCTGGGGAAATAAATATGTAAGAGGTTTATTCAAAACAAATACAAAACATAAAATATATTTTTTTAATTATTTGTTTCACTAGGAGGGAATATTCAAAAGCAAAATTACTAATATGATCTTCCAACTAATATGATCTTCCAACTTCATTGATTCTCTGCCCTCATCTGGTAATATACTGCAATTCCCTTTCACTCTCACTCTCACCCTTACTCTCAACTTTCTTTTCCTCCTGTTACCTGTGGCCTTAAGCATTTCCTTTTTCACAATTGAAGCGCAAGAGACTAAAAAAAGGTAGAAAATACAATGCTACTCACCTGTCTGAGTTTTTCAAGCTCTTTACTGAACTGTGTTAGTAACGCCTCGTACTCTTTGTCCAGCAGGTGCTTGTGGTTCTCCATCTCGACCCGGCACTTCTCTTCAAGCTTTAAGGAAATGGGCGAAAAATCATTAGCTACTCTCTTCTTTTGCTCTTGAACACAACAAAGTTAAGATCACTGGTAACCCATATTTCAATTTCCAGACTACCATTCCTGTGCAAAATGAGACTTGTACCATTGCCTGCAAAAAAAGATTATCCCCAATTCCTTTTCACCCCTCCCCATTGTTTTCATCATAAGTTTTCTGTACTCCTGATATTTAACCCCTTGGTGCCGGGTCATGCCGATAGGCGTGTAAACAAACCGCTCGAAAGCTGGCGTGCAGCCAAACGAGCCGGCGGCGCGCCAAAGCGCAGCGAGCCAGTGATTCGGGTTGACGTCCCGTACTTGTGCGCTAAAAGTCGGCGCACCGCCTTTGTTTGCTAGAGCGTAGAGTTTTTTTTTTTCCTTTTGTACACCCGGCGCCATTGGGTTAAGGAACGTTTATAAAATAAATAAATAAATAAATAAAATAAAAATAACTGCTACATTTACAATTATGAACACCACTACAACAGCAAATACTGCTCAAATTCAGCGCTTACCTTGGCCTGAGCACGCTGGTGTTCTTGCCGCATGCGCTTGTACCCAGACATAGCAGCATGCATGTCCTCCTGAAGATGCTCCTTTTGCTGTTTGCTGACAATGGACGTCGTCTTTATGGTTGCAAAGTTGCTGTTTCCCTGGTCGCCAAGGTTGCCACTCGGCTGTTTTATGAGAAAGAGATCTTAAAAAATGTTTAACTTTTGCTTAAAAATAAAACAAATTAAGAGGTACTTTCTTTCAGTCTCTGGTCAAAGGTATTTAAAAAGACAATCATCATTCTCTTTTTACAAATTCTTTCAATATCTAATTTAATTTTTGAAACAAAATAACATAAATATACAAGTGAAATAATGATTTAAATAAAAAACTTAAAGACCAGACTGACTTTCTAAAATATTAATGCACAGGAAAAATATTGAAAAAACAATAGATCAATTTTCTTTAAGCATTATCACACAAAACTTTTAATGCTTTACGTATGTCTGTCTCTCCTTACCCCTTTTATTCGTCGATTAACCAGTGTCTTACCTCTCTCTCTCT